TAATTACTTTAAGTAGTTGAAAAGAATGATTTTAGGTAAATTTAAGATATTGGCATTGTATAAAATAAAATATGAGGAAACGGTGAACATTTGAATACATTAATTTTAGTTTAAGTTTCAAGCCAGTATTTTAGATAAACCTCAGTTCTGTCGCTGATAGATGAAGAATGCTAAATTTATAGTCGCTCCAATTAGTTTGAATTATAAAAAACATGAAAAGATAAGTTCGAGTATAGGAGATAACAATTAATCATTGTTTTTTTTAAATAAAGCGAGTTATACAAGTTTCGAATTTGGAAACACCACTTTAAGTTATGAGAAATCAAATCTACAAACAGAGAAAACCATAAATGAAACTAATTCAGCTCCATCAAACGAATCGATTTATAGAACCTTTTAGATTGTATAAATAATTTTATGGAATCTAATAGTTCGGCAAACGGAAATTGGAGTGTAAACGACCACACCTGGGAGAATAATCGCGGGGGGCGGTCACTTTCCCGTTAATCGGGCGAGGCGTGTTAATGAATAGAGCTGTGGGGTGGGGGAATATTTGGGCCCCTACTTTCGGGGGGCTCTGTTTGTGATAGATAACCCAAACCGAAACCGAAACCCAAACCCAGTCCCAAGATATGAACTCACTTTTAGGGCCGTCAGATCGATATCGTCCAGTGAACAGTTGACCGATGGAGCCAGTTGTTGTTGCTGCTGGTGCGCCATTTTGATTTGCTATTTTTTGTTGTTCTTCTGGATCTGGAGAATTGCTGCTGCTGCTTCTTCGCACGCAGAAGGAGGTGGGGAGGCGGTGGAGAGAGGAGAAATGCAAATGAAACGGCGAACGGGAAAACAACAAGGAAGGAGCAAGAGCGGAGAACTAGATTTCGATTTCGAATTTAATTTTAATTTTATTTACTTTACTTTTAAGTTTAAGTGACGAACAAAAAACCCGTGCAATTAACAAACTATTTGTTGCTGCCATACAACTTTTCTCTTTTTGCTTCTCCGCTCTTCTTCTCTTCTCTCTCTCTCTCTCTCTCGCGCTGTCTCTTTTGTACCACTGCGTGCGTGTGTGTGTGTGTTTTTGTGACGGAGTGTTTGCGTGTGTGTGTGTTAGTTAACGTTTGGCAAACGGGGCGCGGCTCTTTTTCGATTCCCCAGCACTTTTTAAAATCTTTCTTCGCCTTTAAAACATTAATTCATCACTGCTGCTCCTTCCGCTCCTTTGCACACTGCACAATTACAATTTTTACTTAGCGGCGCTCCGATGGACCTGCCACACACACACACACAACCCCGCACCCACACCAGCGCAGCAGCCTGCGTATGTGTTTGTGTAGGTAGACAGAAAAAATCTGCCACTCGCTTTTCCTCCCGATTCGATTTTCGATGCGCTTTCGCGCAGGACTCGCGGATTTTACTTCCGGAATCCTGGCATCCGGATGTCGAACTCTACGTACTCTTCACGCACAGCGATGGGCGGCCTATCGCTTTTGCATCGCACGTCGGCAGACAGAAAATCACAACTGTTTTGTCTTTTACGCGACGCCAAAACACCCGCACTTCCAATCCGAACGAATGACGATGACGATTACGATTGCGATGACGATGACACTAGAGTTGGCAAGAAAGCGATTCCGGTCCAATTGAGCATCGATTAATCGATAATTGAAATCAGCCGATATAACATCGAAGTAGTAGGGACCACAACCGATCAAGTAGCCGCAGCAGCTCTGCACAGCCAAGACAAGACCCAAGATGTTGGGATGAAATGTTAAGATACATGTTATTAACAGGTCCACTTTTAAATTTTATTTTAAATAAAAAATTGTCTCATTTGAATGTTAAAGAGATCCCGTGACTTTTTAATGAAATAAGTTGACAACTCTGGTTTTCAGCAATTCAAAAACTTATTCTACATGAGTGTTTTGAATAAAGTGATAAAATAAAAACTATAATAGTTACGGCCCCTTTTTTAAATAATATTTTTTAAAAATTTATTTTTGACAGCGTGTTTTTTAGGATTTATTAAAAACACAGAAACACAGAACACACATATAAAACACAAAAAACATTTTATATTTTTAATAAATTAAATTTTTTAGAGGAAGTTGTTTTTCTACTTTTTACATGGTAGAGGTGTGCAAAAGTAGTGCGGCCTTCGGTATTTGGTTCTCATCGCGCCTAACAGTACAAAAAAAAAGTACTTTGCCGTTAGGACCAATTTATTGAGCTTGACGCGCTACACAAACAATTTGGCCGAACAAATTCGAAAACGGATTGCTAGCCCGAAATTGAACAGAAACAAAACTCTATTTACTCTTGACCACAATTTGCCTAAAAATCAGATGCATACGAGGATAAAATTTAAAAAATTGACGCAAAATGGGCCAGTGGAGTCAAGCCATCGCGCCTAACAGCACAATAAAAATTACTTTAACAGTGTGCTGTTAACGCAAAGTTATCGAGTTTCGCGCACCTCTACTGTCACACTGCGTCTTCCCTCTCTTTCTTTTCTTTTCCACCGAAATTTTGGTACGAACCACTTCCGCTGCCGAGTTTTAGAAAAAAATAATCGTAGAATTTAACAATATTCGTTGCACATCCAGAAGAAATGTCCCGAAAATACGGGGCATGTTACTGGTGTCGCCCGACGTGCCCGATATTTCTATTTCGTGGCGTGTTGTTCGACGAACGGTGTTAAATGACCCATTTACGATTAATTTGTGTCACCTAAATCCGGATTACTAATCTTGTGAATTCTACCTTTGCAGCAATGGGTCGCGTTATTCGTGCACAGCGTAAGGGCGCTGGTTCCGTGTTCAAGGCGCACGTGAAGAAGCGCAAGGGAGCCGCCAAGCTGCGTTCCCTGGACTTCGCCGAGCGATCCGGCTACATTCGCGGAGTTGTCAAGGTGAGCACAAGTTCTATCCCACTATTTGGGGATGAGCTTGATCTACAGAGGAACTAGTAACCCTATGTACACTCTAGTTGCATGGGATCCCTATGTTTTGCATGTCCAATGGAGTGAGCCAAAACTTGTGTAGACATACTAATTGCCACATCAAATAGCTATGATATTGAGTCACAGAAATACCCAGATTCCTAGTTAATGTCATAAAGCAAACCTAGTCACCATATCCCGGACAGATTTTACTTTAAAAACCTATGTATATATTGATCATCTTATCAAGGATGTGTTATAGTTGGATAGAGATTTATAAATCCCAGGTATACTCAAGTTGCCAGAGATCCCATGTGTTGCATGTTTAATTGAGCTAACCATAACATGTGTAGATATACTAATTGCTAAATCAGATAGTTCCTGTATAGTCACCGTAATATACAGGTTTTTTAATACTTCCAATATGTTCATTCTCATATTCAATCTAGTTGAAGAGATCTGTCCAATGGAGTTACTGTTCTAGAGTATTTAAAGACGCCCACCTCAAACACATCTGCCAAATCAGAAAGTTGGTTAAGCATTCTAAATACAGAGTTACAGAGTTACTCAAAGCAAAGCTTGGCCTAAAGTGCTTTTCATATCATATATCAAATCAAAAACCTCGTGTCTTGATCATATTTCTATACATGGCTATAATATATCATATCCACCTTTCCGAAGTAGTTAAAAAGATAGCTTATACAACTTGGGGCTCCACTCAAGATACAACTTTCCATGTACGACCAACTCTAACTCCACCATTCCATCTTTCAGGACATCATCCACGACCCCGGCCGTGGCGCTCCCCTGGCCGTCGTCCACTTCCGCGACCCCTACCGTTACAAGATCCGCAAGGAGCTGTTCATCGCCCCCGAGGGCATGCACACCGGCCAGTTCGTCTACTGCGGTCGCAAGGCCACCCTCCAGATCGGCAACGTGATGCCCCTGAGCCAGATGCCCGAGGGTACCATCATCTGCAACCTGGAGGAGAAGACCGGTGATCGCGGCCGTTTGGCCCGCACCTCTGGCAACTACGCCACCGTGATTGCCCACAACCAGGACACCAAGAAGACCCGTGTCAAGCTGCCCTCCGGCGCCAAGAAGGTCGTGCCCTCGGCCAACCGCGCCATGGTTGGCATCGTTGCCGGTGGCGGTCGTATCGACAAGCCCATCCTGAAGGCCGGTCGTGCCTACCACAAGTACAAGGTGAAGCGCAACAGCTGGCCTAAGGTGCGTGGTGTGGCCATGAACCCCGTGGAGCATCCCCACGGTGGTGGTAACCATCAGCATATTGGTAAGGCGTCCACCGTCAAGCGAGGCACCTCTGCCGGTCGCAAGGTCGGTCTCATCGCTGCCCGTCGTACCGGTAGGATCCGTGGTGGCAAGGGCGACAGCAAGGACAAGTAAGCACTGGCTGCAGCAGGAGTCCGGCGTGGCGCAGGTTCCGCCTGAGATCTGGCTGGTAGCCGCACTCCTCTGTGCGGCGCTGTGGGAGAAAATGCTGTTCTACATGGAAAATCTGTATGTTGTAGGCATACGCTTGACACGGCGGAATAAAACTTATTTGTAAAAATATCATTTTGTTTTACAATTTTTTTGGTTAACATTTTCCTGGTTCTAAGGTATTCAGCTCAGAAAATAAAAATATATATTATACATGTTCTGATATTGGAAAAAACTGCTGAAAAGTTGTAGATAAAAATGTAAACCTCCATTAACGTTCTGATTTCTTTAAAGAAAGTAGATACGAACGAATACCTTAACGATGGATAAAATTGAGAGTTTTAAACAGTTGAATGAATTTTGAAATAACATTAAAAATAAATTTTAATTAACTGAAATCACAATCCAACAAATCTGTAATTTGTTGTTCATTTAAAAATTGATGTGTACATATAAATCCGTTATTGATTAATATAAAATAGAGTACTGTTCAAAATTAAATTTAAATTAAAAAATATAAATAACTTAATTTTCAAAGTAAAAAATATGTAGCTTAAGTATTCAGTATATTTGGTATTCCAAATGCATCGCATGGTCCCACTGCACAAAGTATTTGGCCAAAACCGCCGAACGGTCTGCCTAAACGTTGTTGGTGTGCGCGGAGGAGCCAAATAAATCCAAGTAATTTCCGTCGAGCGCTGCAAAATTATGGATCGCACTTTCTACGAGGGCTGGCTAATCAAGTCGCCGCCCACCAAGCGCATTTGGCGAGCAGTAAGTGTCCCCCAAAATCGGAAATCCTTTGGATTCGGAAAAACCCACGCAGAAGACCTAAGGAATTTTCCTGGAAACCCCAGCTCAAAATAAAAATCAAGAAATTCCAAGCTAAGCGAATCAGAAATTCCAAGTGATTAGTGAAATGTGAAAAGAGATGAAAAGAAAACCGCAATTGGCTAACGGTAAACTTAAGACCGGAAGAGAAATACCGTAATCTATGTCCATCGATTGAGTCACGAAAAAGATAAAAAAAAAAAAAGGAATGGATAATGGAAGTGGCATTTTTTTGTACAATTACTCTAAGCCTGTATTGGTGCCTGCCTCAAAGTGTGTGTGTGTGTGCAAGTGTTTGTTTGCCGTTGTTGTTTGTGGTATAATTTAATTCATTATTAAGCCGAGGGATTGCGATTCCAGTATTCCAGTTGATTGGAATGCAAACAAGCTGAAAAGAAACCCGCAGCAGAAATTGCGAAAATGTGAATGAATTTACGATGGCTTCCTCTTCCTCTGCGTTTTTCCTCTCTTTTGTTGTTGCTGTTGCTCCTCCTCATCCTCTCCTCCTCCCACTCTCTTTCTGTTTATGTTTGCTTTCTGGCCGTGGGAACGTGTTTTTGGCGCTGGTCTAAATTTACGCTTAATTAATTTTCCGTTTAATGTTTACTTTAGGGAGTCGCCTGTGTATTAAATTACCGCCAACTGTTGCGTTTAATCAAATTTATTTTTTCCCGTAATTCGTGTACGTACATATACGTATGTTTTTAATGTGCATATGGCCCGTTTTTTATGCCCATGGGCGATAAGCCACATCGGATCAGGCAGAAAAACAAAAAACAAGAGAAACTAGCGACGGGAGCCACAAAAACAATGACGCACTTGTCTTTCCAGATCCTCGTAGTTGTTGTTGTTGCTTTTGCTAGAGATGCGTAGCGTGAGTGTCGTGACACGATTAAGTTTTCAGAACAGTTTTCAAAATATTTAAATACAACATTTTTTTTCAAAATTCCACTCTTTTGTGGTTATACGATATGTTTAGCTTAACAATTAAACCTTTTTTTATGTTGTTACACTTTTGAAACTTCAATTTAATTTAAAAATTACACTTACCGGAAGCGTTCGTGACACGAGACTCTACTCACGCGGCCACCTCTGGAGCGTACATTTGAACCCACTTATAATGGATACCACAGTTCCAAGAACACCCAAAACGTTGATCAAAAGGTCTGCAATACAGCGTTTTTCAATTACAGCTAACCCAACTATGGGTTCACTGTACGGGCTTTGTTTCCTTATGCTTAAACATACAATAGCTGTCAAAATATAATCATTAAATACTATAATTTCAATATTGACGTTTCTGGAAGTTTATTTTCTCTATAGAGAAAAGTATTTAAGAATAGAATAATTCGAGGTTCCTAAAAATTAAAACCTTTTTATAAAACACCTTATCTAAAATGATTTTGAAAGTACAAAAGAATTCAGAAACTGGGAAAAGCATTCTCATCTATGCATGTAAAAAGTAAACAAAGCGTTTTCCAAGTTGTTAAAAATAGCACCTTACATTGTCGTTTCTATAATTTTGAGCGCCATTGTATAAACAAACTATAATGATGCCTCAAGAAAATAAGCTTCGTATTATTTCCAGCGCCTCGGGGTGCCAATTTCTGGCTTGTGTGCGGCATTATGTTTATTGTTTATAATTCAATTAAGCGTGATATTATACAGTCCGAGAAACCCCATCCATTATCAGTTGGAGTTTACGGTTTTCAGCGGGGTCTCGAACCGCTCAGCTGTTTTGGCAATCACTTAACGGTAACGTGGGCGTGGGGTGTTGATTTTATGATTCGTTGACACGTGTGTGTGTGTGCCTGCGGATTACCCAAGAAAATGTCAATATACAACATGATTCGCGGAAAAGCAGCGGCGCTGCTGTCTCTGCCGCCGTCGGCTTCATCACCCGCTTACTCACCACCAGTTAATGTTAATGCTGATAGTATAGTCAGCCGTTGAGCTGATCAGCCGTACCCTACCCCCATATCACCATCCACAGTCCATCGCCCAAACAAGGGTATCTTACTTCACGACAGAATCATCAACAAACTCGTAGAGAGCATTTATTTCCAGCTCAGACCACAAAAATAATGTAAGATATCTCTTTAAAAGCGATAATCGTGGACTAAAACAAAACATTTTCAGTTTACTTATAAAAATAATCGTGAATGTGTGAGCGGAATGCATTTTTATAATAAATAATAGAATATTAAAAGTAGCCTCCATATTACTATTATCAATTATGACCCAGCTAACCCCTAAAACAATTTATTGGTTTATTTTCGATCTATTCCTTTAATCTGAAATTGAGTAAAATCGTATGTTTATATTCGTTCCTGGAATACGATTTCTTATACGAAAATCTTACTACAATATTATTAGTAGGAACTGGCTAGCTTTCAAATTGCTTTTCGCCCAGATGACTAATTATCTCTTTGAGTTAGTCATCACCTTTTATACATCTTAGATTTGCACTAGCAATGTTATCTTTTTAAATTATCACACAGCCTTCATTTCATTTCATCGAGTAACTAAGAAGAACCTTTTTTACTGGGATTGTTTCTTTTCATTGCGATAATCGAAATAGAATGGGGGAGTTCTAATTTCGACAGCCTTTAGAGCGCAATGATAACAGTTCAATTTAAATAAATACTATCTCAATGAATGATACGAAAGGTATTTTAAGGCTTTTAAGCCTAGATCTAGACTGTGATCATTCTTGTTTATTTACTGACTAACTCCATGTTTCCGATTTATCTTTGCAGCGCTGGAGGCGTCGCTGGTTCACGCTGAAGCAGGGCGAGATACCGGAGCAGTTCTGCCTCGAATACTACACCGACCACAACTGCCGCAAGCTGAAGGGCGTCATCGATTTGGATCAGTGCGAACAGGTGGACTGTGGCCTGCGGCTGGAGAATCGCAAGCAGAAGTTTCAGTACATGTTTGACATCAAGACGCCCAAGCGAACCTATTACCTGGCTGCCGAAACGGAGGCGGATATGCGCGACTGGGTCAACTGCATCTGCCAGGTGTGTCACCTACACGATACCAAGCAGTCGAATGAGTTGCCATTGGGAGCGGTGGGTGCTGGTAAGTCTACCCAAGCAACACTCATAAGGTCCCCCATCTAAAGTATGTCTTTGTTTGTAACATCCAGATGAAAACCGCACCCAGCACACGAGCTCCAGTGGCGGGCTGAGCAACTCCACTCAAAATACGACCACCACTTCGCTGCACTCCTCCGCTGGAACCACAGCGGCCCATGCTGCGGGCCCAAATGCTGGAGGAGTGGCCCAACTGCGTCGACCGGCGGTCATTGAACAGCAACCGATGCCCTCGAATGCTGGGAACAACAACTCAGACTCAGTATATGTCAACACGGAGTACAGCAATCGCGAGACGATGCTCTGCGATGCCAACTTTGACCAGCAGGATCTGCTCTCGGCTGCCCAGCAGCAACCGCCACCATCGCCGGCAACAGCTCTTTATCTGAACCACAGTGCTTTGATCCAAGCTCAGGCGGCAGCCGCAGCCGCCGAGCAACTGCAGCAGCAGCAGCAACAGGCTGCCCGCTTGGCGGTCAACGCTAATGGAGTGGTGCGTAAGCTGCCGGAGCACCTGGTGCTGACGCAACAAACGCTGGCGGAGGCAGCAGCCCAGCAACACAGCAGCGTCCAGGCCTCGCCCGCTTTGAGCACAGCCTCCGGGCCATATATACCCATCAGCGAGTGCTTCTCGGGCAGCCCGAGATTCCTGCCCGGCAGTGGAGCTCCCGGTGCAGATGTGGCCATACCAAACAACCCCACCACGCCGCTGAACAACTTGGATCCCAAGTTCTACGATACGCCGCGCAGTCATAACAACATCGGTCTGAATTTGACCAACGATCAATCGTACTCACCGAAGATCACCAATTTGAGTCTGGTAAGTTGGGGCAGTAAGGTTAAATTTTAATGATTTACTAATCTGTTATCCCTCTGGTCTTTCAGCAACAGTTGGCTAGTACCAATGCAAGTAAACAACGCTCCGACTCGGATTCGGAAAGCGTTTTTACCGATGACGATGAGTGGGCCCATCCCTTGCCCCTGCGCGAGAATGTGGGTAGGTTTCTAACAGTCACTTATCCAAGAGAATACGTATTAATCAAAGCTTTATCAAAGATCGCAGCACACGACCCTCTGATAGTTCCATTGAGAACGAATCGTTTGTGCTGACCTACTCGCAGCGTTTCTCCAAAATGCCCGAGGAAGGCGGTGCAGTGGTGCCGCCGACCGAAAAGAATTCCAAGCTAACGGGAGCAGCATCTCTGGGAGAAGCTGGTGACCAAGGAACGCTGGACAAACTGGCCAAGGTGCTAAAAAACAAAAATAATCTCATATTGGACTTTAAGGAGAATGAAAAGTTAGTTGGCAAAGCAAAGTCAAAGGGTTTTGAATGTATACTTATGGTAATTTGGTTTATTTTCAGAATTCCGCGAGATCTGCCCCAGCTGTCGGATACGGAAAACACTTCACCGGCCATTGTGGCCCGTCGCCATGCCCACTCAACCCTTATCGAGGAGAGCTACGACATTCCACGCTCCCACCAGCAACCCTACTACAATGTCAACCAGCTGCTGGGCGAGCGACCAGTCACCAGTCCGCACAACTCTAATCCCATTGCAGCATCCACACCGAATCTCATGGCCGCCGATTTGGGTTCAGTGGCTGCCACATTAACGGCAGCGAATTCCGGCCAGATTAGCGGTGCTCAGACGGCCGCCTCATCGCCCACCAGTGCAAGAACGTTGCCCCGACACTGCTACACCAATGCAGCGCCCACAAAGATGGAGGGCAATGTCTTTCGGTACGATTTCATGGAGCAGGCGGACTGCCCACCGGTGAACCGCAAGCTGAAGCCGAAGGTGGCGGGAGGATTGCCTGCCCTGGAGGACAAGCCGCCGGAGGAATTTCCAGCAAAGCCCCCGGTGGGCGTAGAGCATTTAACTAATAAACTGGGTGCTGCGCAACTGCAGCAGCCGATTGGACCCCCCAGTGTGGACAGAAAGTGCAAGCCGAATGTCTTCAAGGTGAGATATAAATGGGGATATATGAATAAAGTCTTTATAATAACGCCCCATTTTAGTTGGGAACTTCGGCTACCATGTCGCCGTCGACACGTCGTTCCTCTGGAGCCCCTCTCTCCATGGTACTGCCGCATGAAACGGATGTCCACTCACCGGGTGCCACCTACTTCCACGAGACGCGCACCCTGCCTCGCCAGCAGCATCGGCAGCATCCCAACAGTCCCGGCAGCATGTCCGTGCAACATCAGCGCACCGCATCGGCAGCGGCTGCCATGATGAGCTTGGCGGGAGCTGCCGGAGCTCCCAAGCAGCAACCACCGGCGCAGGCTGAGCACAAGCTGCAGTACTTTGATCTGGATGTTACCAACAAACCGCCGCTGCTTAACAGATCCAGCATGAGTGTGGGCAATCTGTACTCCCAAGGTGGAAATGGAGCCAGCGGGATGCGACTCGCTGGCGTGGACACGGGAGGTGCCCGGGCCCCAGTGCCCAGTAGTGTGGTCTACAGATCGGTGGACTTTGTCAAGACGGAGGCATTCAAGAGGATTCGGGAGGAGCGAGAAAGCAGCGGCAACAAGTGATTCTGCTGTGTCAGCAGAATGGTTTCACATCTCCAATTCAACCACATGACAACGTGCAATAATAAAGGACCACGTTGCGGATCCAAATTTTTGTAGTGCCTATTGGGGGTCAGCTGAGGAGAGCTGGCCCCATCCAAAAACAAGAAAAGTGCAAATTCCGAGTGGCTTTCACATTCGTTAACATCGTCAAACTCACAACCCATTAATTCACATATCTAGCTTGTAAGTCGGCACCAGCATTTTTGGGTGCTGCTTTGAATCTGTAATTCGTATCTGAATCCATGTCGTTCGTATTCGTATTTAAATCGTGCTTCCAACACTTCCATGTCTATTTGTTAAGCTTCGAAATCAAAATGTAACCATGACAAACGATCTTAGTGCTAATTTTACAATGCAAACAGTTATTTTATATACGCAAGCGAAATATTTATATACACGAATTTTAACACGTGTGCGACACAAGCTGTAGCTTGATTTTGTGCTTTAAAAAATATATATACATTAATACCAACTTTTTGTAGTGTTTCTGAAAGTTCTAGAGAAAATATTGAATATCAATTGTTTGAAAAGTTGTTTATTTGTTTCGAAAAACTTTGGAATACTATGGCAACCTATGTTTTGAGTTCAAACAAACGAAGTTAGCCCAGAAATACTTGGCAACACAGGAGTCAATATCAAACAAACAGTCATTATTAAACGGATTAGTCAGTGAACTAGCACGCTTTAGAGTTCTTTACTTTCAACCTTATATATTTGCATTAATAATGTCGCTGGTCTACATCACCCATCACGATGAGAACATTCTCGGGTGTGAGCAGGAGTTTGAGAAGGCCCAAGGACCCAAGGAATCCATTTTTGTGTACAAAAATCGTAAGGATGTATAATAAACTATCCTTCTAAATATATCTTTTATTACCTTCAACTTTCAGCTGTTGTGGAGAGGGCTGCCAAGTATGCCAGGAAACTACGCGATCGCTTGAATGAGGAGGACAAGAAGCTATCGGTTGTCCTGCAGAACGATGGCACTCGCGTCCTCACCGAAGCCAAGAAATCATTGCATCGCTCCATGGGCTGTGCCCACACCCCGATTGACCCACCGTGCGCCTATCTGCGCAAGAACCAAGGCATCAAGTGGCGGCGCGAAAACACCCACAAGTGTCCCAAAATGCCGCCAATGCCCCCACTACCTCCACCGGGCAGTGGCGGGCGTAAGTCGAACATGGCGCCCAATTTCATCAAACGGAACAAGATGTGCGCCGGGCAGACCGTTCCCTGTCCCCCGCCACCTCGCTTCATAGACACCCCCGGGGGCACTCGTCAAAATCTACTCAATTCCGGATTGATTCCGCAGTTTATATGCCGCAAGGATTTCGGCAAGGTGCCGGTGTATCTCAAGAAAACCAAGAGGATGCTGGCCGACATGAATGCGGTGTGTGCCAAGGAGCAGGCACGTTTGCTGGAGCTGTGCCGCGGAATCAAGGGATTCACCAGGGCCTCCGTCGACTTGGGTGGTCCGCCGCCGATGCCAGGAATGCGGGTGATGGAGCAGCCGGAGCGCAATGAGATTCTAGAGGGCCTTCGCCTGAGCCTGACCGACATGACCAAGCAGTATCAGTCCATGTCGCTACTCATCGACAGCATCGCCAAGCGGCAGCGCAAGAGCAAGCTGGAGTCCGATCTTCGCCAGGTGGAGCAGGACATTCTGCTGATCGAGACCACTCCCATTATCTACGTTTCCGAGTATTAGCTGATGTCATTCATTTACTTTTCTTTTTCCCCCCGATGTGTGTCGGCATCTGGTAGCCGAGTGAGGCGTTTCTTTGGACGCACTTGCTCCGCTTTTAGAGGCGGACACGCAAAACAACTTGGTAGTTAAGGTTGAGAATAAATTTAACGTTTATGCATGTAACATTTCCACGGCGAAGCTTCCATGGCACACGGGGCATGTGAGATTCCTGCCCAGTTCGTAGAGTTCCTGCAGACTCTCCAGCTCGAACAGGATTGTACGTTCGCAGAGACTGCAGTAGCGTCGATCCAGGCTGGGGGAAATCTACATAGATATTTTGGATATGTTTTAAAATCAAAATGGTATAAACTTACCTCCACAAAGGACACTGTGCAGCGCAAAACTTGCTTCTCCGTAGGATCAGTTATTACAGGATTTCCCAGCTTTTCATGCAAAAACTGCAGGTGTATACCGATTTGGTCAACAAAAGCCTTTGTGGTGGCCCCCAAAACATGCTCCTCCGTAAAGTCAACCTTTAGTTTGTTTACCAGTCGTTGGGCCTCCTCAAACATGCACTTTATCACAACCTCCTGGAATGGGGTTCTTTGACTTAGTGAACCAATAAACTGGAGTCTTAGTCTTATGTGTGTGATGAGTAGCATCGCCACAAGCAACTGCATTTCATCCTGGGTATTCTTGATATGAACCGTCAACTGGAGGAGGCTCGATTGCAGGCGGAGAACAGATTGAAGGACATGGAATTTGAGTTGCAACTGCTGCAACTGAATTTCCGTGGCAGTCTCCGTAAATTGAAAGGAATCCAACGGTCCATAGTCAATGTATTTTTGCCAATTTTCTTCGGCAAATACGTGAAGACGGAGTTCCGCCAATAAATCGATGCAGTTGTTAATGGGTTTATCGATTTCCAGCCTGCTGCTAAGCTGAGCAAGTGCATCCTGTTTCCCGACCTTGAGTATTTGCATTACACACTGCTTTTTTTGAGACACAGTTTGGCACATATACTCCTTGTTGCGGTAGAGAAACATGGTCATTAGGTTCTTGTTTCCACTGGTACAGAGACCCATTAACTGGAAGTCCTGCAGCCCATACATGGCTATCGATTGCATCTTTAGGCTGAGCTGGTTGTTCTCGTGGATAATTTGAATGTGTTGCAATTGGGTAGTGGCGGTTCCAGCCGCATAGCTAGTGTCGTCCAGGCTGCAGAGTCCGGTGATCTTCACGCCGCCCACATAGAGTCGTGCTTCCAGGCACTCCTTCTCCTCCGATCTTGGCATACACCAGGTCAGCAGATGCGCCGCCTTGCAGCAGGTTATGTAGTAGCAATCCTTGGCGGGACATTGGGTAATGACTGCCATTTGCAAGCCCAAGCGGTCTGCTTTCTCCCACAAAGTCTTTGTCAGGATAAGGCCGGTAGTTTCCTGTGCTGAGAATTGGTACAGATGGATGAGTCCGTTGATGTCGCCCACTAGCAGGAGACCCTCGAAAGCGTGTATATAGCAAATGCGACCAAGGGAGGTCTGCGTTTGTTGGTGACTCAGAATGGTTTTTACGTCGGGGCTCAGGGTGAGCAACCACAAACTACCGGAGGCGGTTCCTAGGATCAAAACCTGTGGACCATTGGCCTCTGATTCATGCGGCAACCAAGTGAACATAGTGATCCAGGCGCGATTAATGAATGCCTGATATTGCCTAAAGTTCGTTATCTTGGCAATCTCCATTTCGGGCAGTAAAGTGTCCCTCAGCACCACGGCGATATTGAGCTCCTCCAGCCGACTCCAGCGGTTGTACTCGGCCGGTTTGCTCATTAGGCTCAAGGACCCGTAGGTGTTGAGGGAGGCCAGCAGAAGATTTCCATTGGCCAGCAGCTTGGGTGCCCTCTTGACAGTTACCAATCTTGCTGGTGGCACAGAAAGGGAGCAAACGGCCGTGTAACCCGGCTCCAGGGCCAAGTGTTGGGCCTCCAGGACATTGCAGCTATCGTATATGGCCACCAGGTTCACCTGGTTGGCCAGAGCATCCAGGGGTCGCAGCTCCTCAACGTTGGACTCGAAAATAGCCACGAAATAGGGAAAGGGATCCACGACCATGAATTTGCTGTTTAGCTCCAAGGTAACCACATCCGATTTGGAACCACTTAGGGCTACAAAGTTCCTGTCCGCGTGACTGCTTACAAAATCGTGTATGGAGTCCTGACGGACGAATCCCTTGGCTAGCACAGGGAATTCCAGATTAGCTAAGGGGAAAATATGTACGGATATTATTATATTAAATAAGATTATTTTTGATGTATTGTATAGGTAGATCAAAATCTTTAAACATTTTAGAAATCTTTAATACACATCTACAAGTCCATAAACTTTTTGGACTTTCTTGTAGCCTACGGAGAAAGTAATTATACAAATAATGATTGGTTATTAAATTACCAACTTGAGAAATTTTAATGCAGTTATCATAGGAATTTCATTTTGTATTATGCTGTTTAATCTTCGTAATTAAATTACCAGCTTAGGACATTTTAATAGAGCTATCATAGGTATTTTAGTATGTCATTGAAAAATTTAGATAGATAGCCATATTTACAAGTACTTTAAAGGTGCAAACAGGGCGACCAAAACAAATCGGAAAAATCGGCTATCACTATCTCGGCTGTGTTGGCGTGTCTATATAGCACTCATACACTTACGTTTCCCGACATCTTCGACGCCGTCTGAAATTTCTCCCTCAGTAACTTTTGTCATTTCCTCGCGCTCAGTTTAGTTGAGAATCCAAATCCAGCGGAATGGCGACCAAAAAACTTGGAATGGTTAGCACACCATGTGATACCGTAGAGGTTCATAAATAACTCGAGTTTTTTTAAGGACTTCGTGAAGCAGATGTCCGAATACGCCAGTGGTTCAAACGGGTTCGACAGGGTTTTAAGAATGGTAAGATTATAAACAATAAATGCAACAAATTGAAGCGGCGAGAGAAGAGAAACAGCTGACTCGGTCGGCAGGGATGGTGTTATATAATATGGCTTGCTACTATCGATAGGTCCGAATTTGAAATGCTCATCTCTCGTGAGATCTAAAGAGATTTAAAAATTAAGTGCAGGACCTAAAATTATTTTTTATAGTTTAGTCCACAAGGGCCATTAACATTTAGTGTAGTGCTTTAAAAAAAACCAAAGCTGGTATAATTTAATAATTTCTTTCTTTTCTGAACTCTGAATGTATTCAAACCTAACAGATTTCGAATATGCTGCAGGAGATTTATTAGAGAAGACATATTTCTTAAAATCCTAATAACTTAAATTTGTATCCAAAGATTAAAATCACTGGTGGAGGTGATGGTCGCGCTGTGGGAGAGTTCACTGTGGCCCAGGAGCACTTGAATCGGCAGGGAACCCTGCATGGTGGTCTAACGGCCACAATTGTTGATAATTGTACCACGTACGCCCTTATGTCGAAAGGTAAGATACATTTAATGTGGTATTAGAAATCTTAAATTAAATAAAATGAAATTTAAAGGATCCCATCCTGGAGTTACGGCTAACTTGAATGTCAGCTATATCGCTGCTGCTAAACCTGGGGAAGTTATTGAAATTGATTGCAATACTGTAAGGGCCGGTAAGAAAATGGCCTATTTGGATTGCCTTCTGAGGCGTAAATCGGATGGGAAGATCATTGCCAAGGGAGGACAAGTCAAGTACATTCAATTTGACAAGGAAAAGCTGGATTTTTAGACCAACCTGTCGAACTTAAAGAAGAATAAATAAACTATTTTAAAATATATATGGCTATTTTAGTTTGATACGTTACGTACCATTTCTTACTATTTTATGATGTCATGAATTTGTTCGTTAGATTTTTTACTTTCATTGAAAAGCGGAAGGCAGCACTCGACGATAAGAAAATCAAATATTGAAATAAAATCAAAGCTACCCATTTGTTATAAGTAAAAGTTAACGATTTGTAGTAAAGCGATTGCTAACAACAATTGTTCAAAAAAAATAAAAAAAAAATTGTAAAGAAAAGATAATGGATGGAATAACATTCAAATCCAGTGATCACACTATGATTGTGCCAACATGCTTTTTTGAGGCTCATCCAGAGCAGCTAGCCAAGTTAATGTCTACCTTTTTCGGGCTCCGTCCTGTGGCAAAACCACAAGGAAATTCCAAGGAAGCGATTGATGGTGACGGTAATCAGAAGAACAATGAAGAATTTCAACAGAAGGTCACTAGAATGATCAGTAAACATCATGGAGCTAACAAGTCAGTTGAATCCATTGTCACTGGTCTGGATAAAATGAAAAAAATGCAGGAAGAGTTTGATGAGTTGAAGACATCCCTTATAAGATTGCTTCCTGGTAATTCTGGTAACGGTGATCTGGAAAAAGACAAGGAATCTCGGAAGGAGGTGGTCATTGTCAATGAGTCCAGTAACGATGATTTTATTAACGATGATCAGGAAAAGGAAGAAGTTTCAATTGATTTCTATGTTAGGAAGGATATTGAGCAAGATAAGTTATACGAGACAGATTTATCTGACGATTCTGACGCTTAAAACCGACTTTGTGTTCAAAATATATAATGAAGTCTAAAGTTCAAATTACATGAGGTGGAGAACGATGTTAGAAAGGAGAAAAGGCAGTCGACGTCCAGGCGCTTCAAGAAAAGAATTTGAAGTCAAAAACCCATCTTTATAAACAAACAGCTGTAGACTTATTGAGTATTAAATATAATTGGACTTTGCTATACACAATCAGCTCATCTTCATTTTATTAAAAAATTAGAAAACCATTTCCCAATGAAGTCCCGATAGATTTGAATTTTAAAATATTTTTGGTATCGATTTTTTCGCGGTGTTCGAAAAAGCATTTCGTTTAATCGATGACTGGCACGTCAATCGAAAGACAGCTGTTGTTTGTTTTTAAATTGACATTTTTTTTGAAGGTATTACGTTTTTTTGTGCGATTTGAATGCCGGTTCCAAAGGCTTTCCGGCCGTTATTTGGTAGGTTCAATATTCTCCACTGTATCATGACATTACGTAATTTGTGTTTACATTTCTTTTGATAATTTACAAGTTGTTTACTTACGTCAAAATGCGGAAAACTGCACTCGAAGATAATGAAGTCAAATACTGCTAAAAAATCAAAGTAACCCTTTTATTAACCTAATACACTCAATTTCAAGTTATATGTACATCTGAAACTTTTGCTTCCGCAGCAAACTGTTTTCTTTTATATGTAATATAAAGGTAGACAGACCCTCTATTAAGTCCTAATGTCATCAGATCTTAGCCTTGTCTCCCCTCACAAATCACTTTACAATAAAAATGGATTTTTCTGTAGTTCCTTGTTGACTTATCACTATCGAGAACTTGACTTTTAAGTGGCCGATACGACTATCTATCTATATCTATGGATCTATCTACGAAACAGTATCTAGTACTTTTCTAACCTTCCCAAACAAATCACAATTTTTATTGCAGTTGAGTAGACTCTATCGAATTGTCTGTTGAGCAACATCTATAAGCAAAAAACATGGGAACTCGAAAAAAAGGAGTTGAATTCGCCAAGCATATCACCGAAATCATTACCAAATCAACGGGTTTTGAGAGTCACCTTCAAAAGGTAAGATCATTAAATACCCCCACTGCAGCTCCATTATCTAATCTTTTATTACATCCATTCTAATAAAGGTCAAGATTGTGGATGGCGGCGATGGAGCCTGCACTGCTGAGCTGAAAGTGGACCAGGATCATGTCAACTTGTACAAATTTATGCACGGTGGCTATATCATGACCCTGGTCGACATGATAACCACCTACGCCCTGATGTCAAAACCCTGTCATCCCGGCGTTTCGGTAGATCTAAGTGTAAACTTTTTGAATGGAGCCAAGCTGGGTGATGACGTTGTGATTCAGGCCAATCTTTCTAAGGTGGGCAAGTACCTGGCATTCATCGACTGCACCCTGAAGCACAAGAAGGACGACATGGTGATAGCAAAGGGCACCCACCTGAAATACATCAAATTTGACTAATTTTACAAAAAATATTAACATTTTGGGAGTTGCTTTAATAAAGATGTTTTCTATAATCTATATCATTTGAAATCTATATTGATTTATAGGTGTATCTGAAAATAAACCCATGTTTTAGTTAAAAATTGGTTCTTTGGGTAGGTTCTTTAATTGAGCTGTTTTAATAGTCTTGGATTTTTCTTTTTCTTTATAGGTTGTATGATAATGAATTTGTAACCTATATTTTAAGTAAATAAAGAGATAAAAGAAAAAAAATATATAAAGCTTATGAAACATCCCATTAATAATTCCAATAACTAATTTTAAATCTATATGGATTTTTATATTTATGCAATTTTAAAATGAATCTGTTAAACTAAATAGTTTTTGATTTTAAAAAGTTTTTCTTTCCAATTTCAATGGGTCCGCAAAATATCGTTCCAAAGTTTCCAAGACATTTCAAATAAATTCAAAAGGACATATATTTTTATGGAATATTAATGTGCTTTATTTTATTACATGTGTAGCAGTACATTGTTAGTTAATTGTCAATTAAACATGCTCATTGCGCAATTGCCGGTGTGTTTTTTTGTTTTTTTTTCGGTTTTGATTAGAGTGAGTGTGGCTACTACGGATAAACGTGTACATCGATATGCGTAATTCTTCGGCTGATTCTTCACTTGACCAGCGGGGGGCAGTGGGGGCAGCAGGCCTCGGGAGGCGTGAGTGGATCCACTCCCGGCGGACAGCTGACCTCGCCACATCGCTCCCTTAGGCAGTTGACTTGGCCGTGGAAGCAGTTGCACTTGGTGCACACATCCGGCGACCAGACCTCGTTGTTCAGCCGCGTGGTGCCCTTGTCGTCGACGCAGTGGCTCCTCTTGGGCTTGGAGATCACTTGGGCCGGTGGTGCTGCTGCTGGCGCCAATTGCACCACCTGAGCCACCGGTTCGGAGTCAACGGCATTGCAGGATTCCTCCACTTTTCGCAGTTTCTTGTGCAGCTTCTTCAGTTCCTTCTGGAAGCTGCCAATCAGCTCCTCCAGTCCGCTAACCCTCTCCTCATTCACATCATAGAGGGACTCCAGTGGACTGTCATAGCTCTCGGCGGTGGTCACCTCGTCATCTGCTCGTCGGAGATCTCTCTTCTGCCGGCTACTCCTCTTGGTGTAGGTTTGGGGTATATAGGAATCGAAGATGGCGGGTTGACTATTACCACACCGGCCACATTCCTGCCAGAGGTAGAGATTGATGCCAGCTATATCCTCGCACTTCTTGTAGCCACCCTGGTGCTTGGCCAGAATGAAGACATTCTCGGTGACCTCGTCGAAGTTATCACCCACATCGCAGAGCACTCGACCAAAGTTGGCCTGCTTGATTTGGACTAACTGCTGGGGTGAGAATACTCCGGGATTCTCGTAGTACAAGCGATCGCCATCGCGAAGGCGTTTAAACTGTTCCACCAGGAGGCACTGGAAGAGCGGACCCACCTTGCCACCTTCCACCTGATCCTCTAGGATGCCGCCCAGCCAAACGTCCACGTTATCCGGATGCCCATACAGATCCTTCATCTTCTGGCGTATCTCAGCGTTACCTATCTCCCCAGCCAGGTCCTCGAAGTCCTGGGCCACTGTGAGATTACACAACTTCCTATAGACATTATAGCCAGGCATTCCGTGATCCCTGCCCCTCTGGATATTAATGGCAGCCAGATCCAGGGCTACGGCATGGGCAGTTTGGAATAGCTTCTCGGTGAGCTCCGTATTGAGGTTCTGATCGGGGGTCTTCAGCTTGGCGGGTACGGCCAGAAAGCCCCTCATCAGGGGATCCACGCCACCCTCGTAGGCCAAACGCCAGGGGGCAAAGAAGGCCTTGTGGAGGAGCAGGTGACCCTGGGGAATTGGCTGGAAGGTCTCATTCAAGCGGTGGAGTATGGGATTGATGATGGTGTGTCCAAATCGCAGAGCTGCCGTGGCAAACTCATTGGCTATACTGGGATTCACTTGAGGATCATAGCCCTTGTACTCGCCCATCATCGCCATGCCACTTTCACCAATGATCAGGGGCAACCACTGCTTGAAGGTGATGTGCTGCATCTGGGCGCCCACTATCTTTCGCGATTCCTGGTACAGAGTGTCACCATCCCAATGGGCATTGATTTCCTTAAGCTTCCTGGCTATCCTATTGTGCTCCCTCATCCAAATGGTGTGCATGGCCAGCAGACCCACCTGTTCATTCACTCGGATATCTCCGGAAACGAAGCAACTCATGGTGTTCTCGTCGAGATTCCTTCTGCAATCCATGCCATCCTGCGGGGCGGCAAAGGGCAGCATGTCCTTCTGCCTGGGGAAGTGAACCCCAACCCGGAGTAGACCCTCCTGGGCCGTAAGATTCCTCAGTTCCTGGGCAAACGGAGTACTGTAACCGTAGACCTGGGAAGCGTCTATATACGAGGTCAGCTGATTGATTTGCTCGCGATGCTGAACGCTGTCGAAGAAGAGGGAGGTCATCCCAGATCCACAGATGGCACTGGATCGCACCACATCGATGCAACGGCGATTCCGGACTCGCGGATCATTCGGTGGCACCTCGATGGGATAGCAGGGAGGTGCCATCTCGCAGCTCTTCTTGCAATCGATGCCATCCCAGCTCTCCGAACTCACCGATGGTATAGCATGATCCAGATCGTGATCGAGAAACTGTCCCCACTGCATCACCATGTGGGTGATCCTGGCGTCCGGTGTGATTTCTTTGGTGGCCACTAAGGAAGTGGAAACCAATCTTGCACTGGGTTTCGCATGGCCGGAATACAACATTCCCTTGGTCCAGCCCACTGGCATGCTGAAACCATTCTCGTAAATGGGTGGCGCCAATCTCCGGAAGGCGGTGAGTGAGGCACCCCAGGTAGGATGTTGTAGATTGTTGCAGGTGCCATCGATACTACGGTACCGCGAATGGAAGCACATATCCGTACAGTTGGGCATCTCACGGTGCTCCATGCATCCGGATAGCTCCGCCACCAGATGCAGATGCTCCCTGGAGAGCAGATCCCTGAACTCGTACTCCTCGCTCTTCATGGTCAGATTATCTCCTTCCTGCACGTGTTTCCGGATATTAACCAAAGTTCTTTCGTAGATCTCTGCAGCACGCGCCAATTGCCTGGCCTGGCCAGTGGGAAAGCGGAAAACCCGGAGTAGTTCACCATAGTTGGGGGGAGCTTTGTCGGATCGGTTGGAGAAGAGCATGTCCAGGGTGTTGTTAATGGCCAGGTCAATTTCTTTGGCGGCCTCTTCGAAGGCAATGCGCACATAACGATCTCCTGGAGCCAAATCCAAATTGTTTCTAAAGGTGGAAAACAAAAAAAGGTCAAAAAATTAGTTAAAATAAGTAAGTTAGATAAATAAAAGGTGCAAAATGGTGACCGCATTATTTCGCTTTGATAAAATGCAACTACCCATAAGATGAGTTTTTGGTGACCCCAAATCGTTATAAGCTGAAACTGAGATCAACAAAGTATGAAAGTTGGTGACCCCGATACCTAGTTTTGTTAAACTACAAAGACTGCTTAGCCGTAAAATGGTATAGAAAGTATAGTTTAGATACCTCTTCATGATGTGCTAAGGATACCTTTCGTTCTAAACAGATAGATAAATTGATATAGGACTGAAATTGGTAACCCCGATTCATTGTTATTGGCAAAATGAAAAGTCTTCTGTATGCAGTGCTAAAGGTAGAATTTAAAGACCCTTTCTTTAAGTAATGAAGATAGCCTTTGGTGCCCACGAATAGTGGTGTCCTTTTGGGCACGTAAAGTACATTACTCTACAAACTTACGAATTAATTTTTGATTAATCTTTATTAAATGCCCTGAGCCACAAGTTGACACCTCCGTAGAGAACACAAAGCGCTGAAACAATCAAGATATCTTAGGGAATTTGCACATTTTAATTACCATAATGCCAGTGCCAGGAGTGGCCCAAATGGCCGCGTTGTCTAATAAAAATGCCAGCCAGTCTATTTCCCCATTTTCTGCGCTTTCTTCCCTACATAAAATTATGCTGAATTCTTTTTGCAAAAAGATATAAAAAGAAGAAAAAATCCCCGCTTTGCTTTTTGCTTTTCAACTCAGGGCTCTGAATGGCGGGAGGATTGGGTGAGTGGGCCCAGCATTAACAACAATTCATGCCGTGCATTCTGCTGCCAAGGAATGCTCCTTTAGGAAACTTTCGCCTGTGTAAACTTTGGCATTGTGCGGCGGAGGCGACGTTGTAGGTAATAACTTAACGACCATAATACACCCTGTTGCACCAGAAGTCTGGCACTATCAGTTGCCACTGGGTCTGCTCTTGGTCCTTCTGCTCCTGGTAAGTCGTGGTCGTGGTCGTGGTCCTCCGCCTTCAGGCAGTGGATACTGCGGAGCCAAGGACTACATATTTCCACGCTGCCATTCTGCGGCTGCCCTTTTGCCTTGTACTTTTATTTTTGTTTTTTCTGGCGACTCGACGGGGCGTCCGTTGTTCTACAACTGACAATTGCCCACGGTATTTTGGTCATTGATAATTTTTCAGAAAGTTTGGGAATCACTCTTGCAATTATTTTAGCAGATAATGGTTTTTTAAGGGGTAGGCACTTCAAAAAGAGAGCAAGTCATTGTGCAAAACATTATAGAGTACTTAAAGAAAACCTTAACGTGATTATAAATTGGGGAAATTATTTTTGATTATTATTTCGAAATTAAATATTTTTCTTACAGTTCTTTAAAATATTTGTCTTAATATGGTCCTTGCTTTAATTTACCCGGTAATTTGTAGAATTGCGCAGTACCAAAAATAGATTAAAACACTATTTTCAACTATTTTAAAGCCATTTGTTACAAGCATCTATCTATCTACCTATTAATATATATATACCTGTCTATCTATCTGTCTATCTAAAATTTATATTGTGGCGAGGTCTTCATATTAAAATCTATTTTAAAAATTCTTGAATAATAATTTAATTTAAAGGTTTTATCTAAAGAAAAGTTTA